TCTCTCTCAACGAATCGCCTATCAACCAAGGTCGTCCACTGGAAAAATCTTGAAAATGCATCCAAGACTGTCATCGCTGCCTCCGCCGCTTTTGCGTCTACCTTCCCCGCTGTCCTTGCTGGTACTGCTACCATTGAAAAACCAGTGCAGCGACGACGTTTACCTTTGGTCTATCGCCAGACTCTGCCCGGTGCCCCACATGAAGAAACTCTCATCTGGCGACAAGTACTCAGAGGAATACCGCAAGAACGATAATGGTGGTGGTATCTCGATCAAGTTGTCTCTCGACAAGGACCAAAAGGAGGTTTCACAATTCGAATACACCTTGGACGACCCAAAGGTGTTCTACGACCTCTCCAACATCGATGGCTATCCCTTCAAAGACGGTGGTGTGACCATTGTCCCATCCGATGACAGCTGCCCCAAGGTTACCTGCGAGGCGGGTGACGGCAAGTGCAGCGAGGCATACAACAAGCCCGACGACGATCATGCCACCCACGGTTGCCCACAGGAAACCGACCTTCACGTTGTCCTTTGCGCAGGCAAGAAGGGAGCTAAGCTCAGGCAGAAGAGACACATCCCTCGCCATCCCCACGCTCGCCCTGCTGAATAAATGCCCAGACAAACCTCCATAACTGGGCAACTTCGAATTTATACCCTGATGTCCAGCTGGCTCCGAGACATTCCTTACGCAACATTCCTTTCACGAACTGATGATTCATTACATTCCTTTTACGCAATTTTCTTTTGGGAGTCTGGGCTTTAGGGCTGTGCCCCGTTGACAAATATGACTTGTTATGGCCTAAAATTTTACAGCATTTGGGAAATGATAGATGGTGTTTTGGTTAGATGTATGATAGATACCACAATAAAGCTGCGTGCTTGCCGTGATGGCAGCATGAAATGAACAAAATCAACATTTGCTCTCTCTTCCATGTCCAGTATTGTTATTATCTTCGGGGAAGATCGGGACCTCGATAGTGGCCAAAACCCTGCCGTTGGATGTGGGAAGTTGGTTAACTTGCTCTAGTTGAAGGTGAGGTGCAAATAGAGTTGGCCGGGCTCCACGTGGAGATAGCGTTCGGCTTAGTGGGGCTTTGGCTCGGATGTGTGCTTGATTGGCTGGAACTCTTCGCTGTGGGCGGAGTCGGCGTCCTTCTTAGTCATCAAATCCCCTCCAAAGCAATTCCTTGGCATCGCTTGCAACTCGCCATGAAGAGGAGTATTTTTGAAAGGCAAGGAACTTATCTTTAGAAGTACAACTTGTCAGAGAATTGTCATAATTCAAACCATGTTCCCAATAGCAGAAATGAGCAAGTTTCTATCTCCATCAGTTTGAAAAACAAGGACCTTCTAGCTAATGATTAGCTTCCTACTAGATTTCTCCCTTTTGTCCTGGAGAGAATGTGACATCTGAACAGGTAGTTAGATTTTAGAGGCCTTCTTATAACGCATCTACCCTCCATTGGCCTCAGTCTTAAAGACATTTGACCTGTAAAATCGTCCCGTTTTAGCCTATTCTTCCACAGCCTCGCATTCCAAAAGAGGAGCAGGCATCATGTCAAATTTAGACTAGTTTCAGCAAACCCGAGTTTGTGCCCAGACCCTTCTGGCAGTCCTGGACCTCATCCACACACGCGTCGTTTCAGGTGGATTATTCTTGATCGATTGTCCCCGCTTCCACATCGTTCCTTTTCGCGGGAGCCCGTGCTGCCAGACCCTCGTCAAGTCACTTCCACCTTTTATGGAGGGTCCGGCCGGGCGGCGCCTGGAATTTTGGACCTGGCTTAATTTCGGGGCACCCGGGGAAGGGGGGGGGAGGGGGGGGACGTTACAACCGAATGAGAGGCGCTGTGCTTTACCATCAGCAGTAAAAGTAAACGATATTCCTGCCCTACTGCGAGTGACAACTTGTTAACTAGTTCATGCCTGGTTCTGAGGACCTTGGAAAAATCTCAATTCAAGCCCTCTCGCTTTGTCGTTACAGAAATCCCGTATTCATCCAGGCGAATTGTAACTTCGCTCACTCGTGCCCGCTTGATTATTCCGTTTTTCCTTCGACTTCAATCTATCCAGTCCACCGGGGTCAGGTACAGGATCGTATTTCGTGTACATCTAGATTCACTCAGTCTCCCCTGCTGAATGTAACTCGTAACCTTGCGTTCGAACGATCCAGACCCGATCGTTCTAAGAATTGGGAGCTTGTCAAAATCACGCGAAGCTGAAGTCATTCAAGCCAGTTTATAAGCCATGAAACATGAAGTCTTGTCAATGTTGGAATCAAAAGTCTCTCCCCTCGCATGGAAACCACGGTGAGCGCGAGTCCCCAGACAACCAACGTCTTTCCAACTTTCTTTCATTGACGAGCACTAATCTGCGCTCATCAATCACCGGCATGAGCTCGTATCAAAACCCTGGCCGACAGATAGTATTTATTGAATATGTATGCAACTCCGTCTACTGCAAGTTATTATAGCCAGCAATGCGATAACCAGCCACCGCTTGTATGTTCTACCACATAACCAGCCAACTGCCTTTTGATAAGTATCTCTCGTATCAACCAGAGAGCAGTCGGAAAGAAACCTTGATGAACACGCGTCCCCTCATCCTTCTAGAAGCCCAAAGAGAACATTCCCCCCACAATTCCAGAATGACCAAAAGTGGGCCTGGAAACTCAAAATAGTTCCTGGAACTTTGACCATCTTTGGTCCAGCCAATCATAAAATTCTGCCTCCGGATGAGTTTGGCCGTTTGATCTCTTCAAACCCAAATAAAAAGTCAGGAAGGGTTTCTGGTTATCAAGTGTTGCAACTCCACGATTAGTTATTTTTCATGATGGCATATCACCGCCATCGGTTCCCATGATATCATATTCATGATGTGACATAAGCCAGCAATAACGATACTAGAAGCTCCACAAAACGCGTGGTCTCCATCACGCCTTTGCCTCTTTGGAAGATTTTGACAGACGAGCCCGGACGTTCTCCCACATGCCATGGCTTCTTGTGGCCTTCAAGAGCAAGTATGCCACGATCCGATATCCGATCGCCACCAGTGCCAGTGCCATCACATTTATCGCCGGGTTCTTGCCATCTTGATTATACAGCATGAGGACCTGCTCCCCGGTCTCGATCGGACAGTGCCCACTTGGCAGTCGCTGATCACTCGTACATGTAAATGTCTGACCCCTCATGGCATACGGCGCCAGATTCGACACCGAATACTTGATTGGGGAAAGGTGATTGAAAGCTTGAAGCACGGCGGGGACATTCAAGCTCAACACGCCCCCCAAGACCGTCGAAATCGAGAGCATGACGGAGGTTATGTTGATGGAAAATCCGACGTGTGAGAATAGCGTGCAGAACATGATTCCAAGCGACTCGCCACAGCTCACAATACAGAAGCAATTGAATGCGAGCAAAAAGAACATTTTTACACTACTTTCGAGACCGACGGCGAAGGCGGCCATAATGCCGAAAAGCAACGAAGACACAATCTCGAAGGGAACCTCGAGTGACGTGTATTGGAGAATGAAAGCCTCGACCGAGTAGCAGTTGTCACTTTCTTCCCGGTAGAACACTTCCCGTTCGGAAGGATATATCGCAATGCATTGTAGCATCCCTAAATAGTGTAAGCAACGGGTGATGGTTTCAACGTCTGGATGGAGCATGAGTGGTTCACCTACCAACGAAATACACCGCAGCAAGCTGTTGAATGAAGCCCATTCTAGACTGAACAGACTCGTAGTTGGTTTTCAACGGCGCGAAAAAGAGGCTCAAAATGATAGCAATACCGATGACTTGCATCGTGCGCGCGACAAGGAGATGTGGCTGTCGTCTCAAGTTGATTGCCGACCGTCGAAGTACCAGCGGGAACATGAGATGAAAAAGGGACCATTTTCCTCTTCAAGCTGCCCAGTTCAGCTGGGGTTGATATCACTGAACTCCGGCGGTTAAACTCCACGGGCGTTTGCTCCCAGTTAGAGATCAGTTTCTTAACCCTTGTACGGCTGGCAGCCTCCCGTTCTTTCTCCTGCAAATCGACAGTAATTAGGTCCAACACGAAATCTGCGGGATTGGTATCCTTCGAGCATGGATGTCCTAGCCTGTCGAAATAAGGAATCATTTCGGATCCCTTGCCAGCGTAGACAGGATGTCCACCTCTTGCCAACAGCAAAATGTTGGAAAAAGACTGGAAGAGATCCGATCTCGATTGATGAACCGTCAAAATGAGGGTCCGGCCCTCAGCAGCTAGGCCGTTCAACACGTCAATAATGCTCCGCGCAGTGAACGCATCTAAGCCAGATGTAGGCTCATCAAGACAGCAAAACCTTCGGATCTGTGAGAGTCTGAATCGCGATGGAAACGCGTCGCTTTTCACCACCGCTGATGCCCTTGATCAATTCACTTCCAATCAGATTGTCTGCACAATCCTTTAGGCCCATCCTTCAGCAATACATCTTCAGCTCTTTGATTCTTTTCTTCTTTAGACATCGATGAGAGAAGCCTCAAGCCAGCGGCGAATTGAAGGGACTCTCGCACCGTGAGTGAGGGCATCAAAGCATCGTCATCCTGCGTAACAAACGACGACACCGCTCGAACTACATTTTCGGTCGGTACCGAGCCATTATACAACATTCGGCCGCTCAAACGGTATCTCGTCCCCATCGAACTTTGCAATCTCCGAGCAATTGAACATAACAACGACGTTTTCCCGCTCCCTGAAGGGCCCATGATAACGCTTAGTTGGCCTGGAGGAAATTCCGCTGAAATTGGTTTCAAAATATTCAATCGTTGGGACTTAATGCCCCGCTTGCCAATTGTTCTTTTGTGAATCTCCAGTGCATACTCATCAAGTCTAATCGAAACCTTGGAGGCGTCCTCGGGCGGCCTGGCTACAAACTTCTCCTTTCCTGCCGATAAATCACCTTGCGGGCTCCGGGATTGGGCAATATCCATGTCGACTTTCCTGAACCGCAGTATGAGATAGGCCATGACGAAGAAGACGATAATAAACGCAACCAAGACCAACATTGGCCGCCAAATCCAGTTCGAGGGCAATCCCAAGCTTTCCATGATGAATCTTCCCGTATATTCCTTACAGTAGGGATCTTTAGGGTCATTTGAAGAAGGGCAGTCATAGAACTGTCCTTCTGGCGGGCCGTTGGGGCCGATAAATTCGTTGGCGCAAAGAGCCCCGAAAATGTAAAAGGTGTAGGTAATCCATTTCAGCCATCGAACATAGACAGGAATCTGGTTGGATTGGACGAAAAATCCGCAGGCCATGGTTTGCAATGTAAAAGATAAGTTACCTATGAGACTCGCTCCTGGGAAGTTCCTCGATAATCCGACACAAACGGATGCGAAGGTCACCGCCAAATATTGAGTGAGGACGTTCAGCGCTAGAAAAATAAAAAATTCCGGCGCAGCAAGTCGATAGCCAACCATAAAATAGAATATCACAGAGAAGATACACGGAACCGGTAAATCTTCAAGGAACAACCGTGCAGCACGTCTGCTCAGGAGGAAAGCCGGAACCCCAACAATGCCTTCGTTTCTTTCGCGGTCAAACAATTGGATGTCCGTAGTTAGGCGAAATACCTCGTAGAGCAGTATGAGGTAGCCATTCAAGCTACTAGCTGTATATAAACTTCCTTGTCGCGACCTAATGCCAGCCAAACTTTGATCCAATCGAAGGTAGACCCATCCGTTCATGACAGCCATCCCAATCGCCTCGAACAAACTGGCCGTCATTCCCATAGGATCTCGTATGGTCATTTTGATCGTGCGAGCAGTAAGAACGCGGAATTGCTGCTTGAAACTGGCGCAATGTCGGAGCCCATCCGGTTGATATCCCTCTGGTGGAGCGGCGTCCATATGTCGAGATTCGGCCTTGTCAGCTTGAACGGAATTCATAGAATGTTCCTGCCATGCAATTTTGAGCTTTTCTACACGTGTCCAGGAGAGACGTTCCGATTCTTCGGATCTATTATCATACGCCGCCAAGTCGATCAGAAACTCCGCGGGGTTTACGAAAGGAGGTATGGAGTGGCCGCATTCTTCAAAGTGGCCCAAAGCCATATCAACCGGACCGCTGTAAAGCACAGAACCGCGGGAGAGTAAAATCACTTGATCGAAAAGGCCCCAGATCTCCGAACGAGGAGCATGAATGGAAGCAATAACGGTTCTGCCATCCCGAGCCAATTGCTTCAAAGTTCTGATAACCTGAAAAGCACTGGTCGCATCCAACCCTGATAGAAGCATTGTTAGCATTAACGAGCAAGAAAGCTACCAATATCAAATCATAAAAGGAGCTTCCTGTACTTTGAGGCTGTGGAAGAGTTACCTGTCGTTGGTTCGTCGCAAAACAGGACGGATGGATTGCTCAGCATTTGAACTCCAATGCTAGTCCGTCTTTTCTCGCCACCACTGCATCCTTTATGTGTGGTGGTGCCAATTCTCGTGTCCGCACACTCTTTCAATCCCAGCTCTAGGATCACATTCTCCACGACATTCCGTCGCTCACTAGGGGTAGTGGGCGACGGCAATCTCAAATCAGCAGAGTACAGTAGCGTTTCTCGGACAGTCAGCGTTGAAATCAAGATATCCTGCTGCATAACATAGGCGCTCCGGACATGGTTGACGTTTTGATGTCCATTGAATGTGGCAGAGCCCGAGACTTTGACACGACCCGTATTCATGCGACCGGCCAATACATTGAGCAAACTTGTTTTACCCGAGCCGCTGCCTCCAATGATAGCTGTCAAGCTTCCGCTGGGCATGGTGGCTGTAACGCCATCGAGAATGGTTTTGAGGGGATCTCCCTTCGAGTTCCCGCGCACTCTGTCCCAGAGAAGTGAAGGCGAACTTTGCCATATTGGCGGTATCGTATCCACGCGAACAACGAGATCCTTCACGGAGATTTCGACAGGCTGGACCCGACGGAGAGAGAGGTGAGTTGGGTTTTCGAGGTTTTCAGCTCGTACGGGACTTTCGACGCCGATGGCAGCCTCCTCGTCCACCGCGATACAGGACGTCTTCTCCGCTTCAACGGTCATTCTCCAAATCCGGACATTATGCTGCGCAACAGGTAGTCGAAGAAGAAAGGGCGTTGGTTAGGATGTGTTTCGCGTGCACACTCCATTCTTATTGTTAATGAGACAGCCATCCTCAAGCATCCGACGGACAAACCCAAGTTGCAAGGTGGATGCAACCCTCGTTAGCTGGTTTGATGTTGGACGGTCCGAGGTCCACCGTTGAACTGCCGGGTTCACTCGCCAGTCGTATTGCGTACCCCGTACTCGTTAACGGTCCACCCGCGCCGGTTTACGAAACGGATTCGCCCTGGCTATAAATAATGATATAAGGATAGCTTTGGAATGGAAATAGAAATGCATTTGATACAGTGTGCGGTTATATTGCTGAAGCCCACAAGTGGCAACTGTGAAGTTGGTTCTCGTCTTGTTAAGGGAGAGGAGCTCGACGAGGCGAATAGGTTTATCTGTCAAATCCATTTTGTACTCCGTATTTAATATACTTTAATATGTTCGGTGGTTGAGAAACGGGTTGTGTATATATAGTCCGTGGTAAGGCTAATATAACAAGTATAATAGCCGCTTCTGTTAATACTCTCCTTTGATATTAGACGTTCACATCCCTAGTTGTGGGTTTTCCTTTCAATTTCCTTCAAAATCGGTTTTCAATCGCTCAATTCCTTTGATATCCCAGCGATTTTGATTTTCGGACCCTTTCTTCAGCCATTGGCCACACTCAGGCGGCGTATAACGGGGGCTTGAAAGTTGAACATATACACCGCAAATAATCCACTTTGATTCCGAATTTGTCTTCGAGAGCTTCATGGTTTCTTCTGGTCCAAGTGTAACACCAAGAAGTCATCTTGGATGACAACTCACAATAAACGTGTTTGGCATCCTCTTAGATCATATTGGACCACAGGTGAGTAGAGGAAAAGCGGCCTAGGGGTAAGATGGGGCATCTAAGGCTATATTGACAGCCGCTATTACTTGCAGGAGTCATTGACGGACTTTATTTCCAGCTGCTGCAAGTACTCGAAAGTGCCCGAAATGCGCTGGGACATGAGCCGCTTACAAACAGTTGCCGCAACTTCAAGCATGCCTCGACGCATTGGCCAAACGGATTTTGGGGCTGGAGTTGACGCTGGGTTGAATTCACCAGAGTTAGCATCTGGAAAAATTCGTCCGGATCTGGTCGGGGACATGCCCATCTCGAAATCGACATAGTAAATCTTCAACAGAGCAATATTAGTGACCGGTAAAGTTGATCGAAAGCCCATTCGGATCTTCCCCTTCCCTACCCTCCCCTGGTGAAAAAGTCAAACTTGAGCGGAGAAAAGGAAGGGGAAAAGGGTCCCTTCCATGCGGGATTGACGACCGGCCCCATTTCAATCCCGTTTTGACTAGGATTTCCCTAGGGGCGATCATCCGCTGTCCCCACAAGAGCTTCCAACTTTCTGCTGAGAGATTCGAGGGGGTCGGCTCATATATATCTCTATCTCCTACGACCAGGGCAGATGTAGGTATGCTATTCGAAGCCTGCAATCGGTACGACGTTGATTCGAATGAACCCTGAATTCAATCTTGATTTTAATCGCGGCGGATTAAAGAGCATCTATTCAGAAGCGAGGGTGTCAATGAAGGCGGGCGGGCTCATAGAATCCAATACTAGGAGATCCTGAAGGTCGGCCGATAAGCCATCATCGCCTCTATTCTGGCGGCCTTGCATATCTCTGGCCTGTTATTGGCATCTAGCTATAAGAATGATTCGAACTTCGGACCAGCAGAACTGAGACTCCGTATAGTTCCAAGCCCTTTGCTTTTTGAGGGAGGCTCTGTCTTCCGCCGTATGGAAATCCTCCGATGTGTGCAATAAAAAGCAGGGTCACCACATGTGGCAGGAGTGAAACGCAGCATGCGTCCATACAACTGATATCAAGAGACGGAATCCGATGGCATTCCACGTTCAAAGCGAATGAGGGTTTTGCCGTCTGCAAGTCATCAAGAACCATGTCCGCTTGCCAACTCTATTTTCGCCTGGTCGCCGCTCCAGAACGTTTGCGACCTTCGATCTCGCCTATGGAAGCCAGCGGGCAAACGGCTGAAGTTACCCATGTCCGCAGTCACATTCAGAGTTCTGGTCGCCTCGTAATCGAATCACAGATTGTCGAACAGTGTTGGCCGACAGCCTCAAAAAGTCTCACACAGTGTGTCCTCATTACATCAAGAACAGCCAATTCCAACGGGATCATTATGAACAAGACAATTTTATCATGAGAAGAGAACGATCAACATGGTTTTCGCCCTCAATCTCATTCTGATATCGAGTCATGCTATGGAATCTTCACCCTCTTTGTCCAAGTTGACTTATCCTTGTCCCGCGGAAGGCGGCCCGCGGGTAGGAGCGGAGACTTCCATCCCCATCTCACGCCTTGCAGTCAACAAGGAAGTTTGAAATCGGATGGCTTCCGTCTTCCGTGGCAGCAGGGAGACAGTGCCTTCACATTCCGGCTCCAATTGTCATTACCTTGTGAGGCGGCCCGTCCCTGCTAAGAGTGCAAGTTCTGAAGACATGAAACGGAAACATGTCAAAAGAAATATGCACATCACTGCGGTTGAGGGCCACAGGACAGGGGACCTGAGATCTCCGATCCGTGAGCTGCACACCCTTCCCGAAGCGGGGTTTGAAGATGGCCGCAGGAGCAGGAGAGTGGGTTCGTGGAAGGGGGTCAAAACATCCACGGCAAGATTGAAGACGATTCTTCCCAGCCGGCACCAGACAGGGTTTTCCCGCGCGCTGGAACCCTCATCGTCCAACGGGCTGAGATCAAATTCATCCAGACCTCTGTACACCGTCGATCCGCCTATTTTCTCTGGCAGGAATGGAGCTGCATCTGGCATCAACGATGCCGGGCAAAAGGCTTTCCACGACATCCATGCACGAACCCCTTTGGACAAGGCACGATGTCCCTCGTCGCACACAGAACAGAATGCTGGCGAGGCAGCATGCAAAGATACAAGCCGAATCAGGTATTCCGTAGCACTGAGTACAGAGACAAGATTCATGGGCAAAGATTCGAACGGCTGGGAAGATCGGCACGATGATCAGGCTTCTCGGCATGTGCATTTTCCCTTCTGCTGCGCGGAAACTAGTCGGCTCACGATGGAACATTTTACGATGCCAGGCGTGAGCATTTTCCCCTTCAAGTCTAAGGATGCTCCAGTTCTATTAAAGTTCAAAGAGACTGGCTCGCAAGCGGAGCGCCAGGTGCCTCACTAACTACGGGAGGACTTAACGAGATGCAAGTTCAAGAGACTGAGGGCGAGGCTCAAATGGTAGAGAGACGATGCCCAATAACGCCATTATTTAAGAAGCGGCGGATCTCGACCTGTGCCAGAATATCGACCCCCTTCTACAGTCTGCGGCCGAACCATGGGCCGTTCACTGGAATTGAAATTGTCCTAGTCCAAACCGTGATTGCCAGTCGGGTTTACGGTGCGACAGTTGACACTGCAATCACCGGCGCTCCTTGAACGAATATATTCTCAGAGGTGATAACCTGGATCAATAATGAACGAACAAATATCAGTGACAGCGTGGTTGGGCCCTGGTGGTATCAGCCTGGGATAACTAGCTAACTCACCCGCGTAAGTAAATCGGGGAAAGATAACCAAAGGGGTGAGACGATTCGCCGAGCACTGTCGCTCGTCTTTGGTGATGGATGGCCCAAGCGAGGTTGCACACACGGCACATCTTGTCCTCGATGAACTGTTTGCTCTCGGGTGAAAATCGCGCGTATCCTGCAATATTATGTAGTAACTAACTAGTTGGTATTTTTGAGGGTCTCTTGTCCCTGTACACCTTCGACCGTAGCTATGTATGTGTACCAGTTGGGACATTGAATACAAGCCAGTTCGGCCATGGGAGAATGCTTCCCAGTCCATAACATGTTGATCTAACTCGCAGTCCAGCCGCTAGCTTAACTAACTCGTTGGTGCAGAGGGACTGATCCCGGCCCCAAACGCACTGTCCTGGGCGTTTGCCTTGTCCCAACCCTCGATCAAACTAGGCACATCGAGCTAGGAATCCCGATAGATTGGAGCCAGGATACTGGGTAGGGGGGGCCGTCAGACCGCGAGCTCTCGAATTCGACCAGGACAAGTGACGATTGACCTGAATCGCCTGCTCCCCGTCCGTCTGCAACTCACTAGCTTCGTCGACGCGAGACCAAATTGACAAGGGGCGTCCAGGGAATGAGGGGACGCCGTCTTTATTGGCTTGCCGACCACATCGGACCACCCTTGTTGGTCTCTCCATAACTGCTTGTTATTTAATCGGCCAGCGCTGCCAGTCGCAATCAGTCTGTGAAACGAATAACTTTGAAGCCTGAGATCGTTCTTGGATCCTTCCTCTCTCTCCTCCCAGAATTAGTTACAGAGCACCAGTCGACCTTGGGTGGTGAAGAGTCCATGTTGTTCACGCAGAGAGCCTCCACATTCAGCACCCATCAGCTCCCTCTAAACCCCGGCAGGACCATTCTCAGTCACAATGTAACGAATCCACCAGAGTCTGACAGGGATCCGGCGGATTCGAAGCGTTTGGACCTGACCGCTTCCCCTTCTCCAGTCCTCGAATCCCCTCCGAGCTCCTGTACCAGCGAACGCTTCTCACGACTCGCAATTACGACATCCGGCGATGATGGGCCTGGGAAAGTCGATTCCCGGCTCTCTGAACCAGCTCCCAATCTCGTCAGAACTGAAGAGCATCGCCGTGAACTCCGCAAGAGTTTCTCAACCCACAGCTACTTGGGAACTCCGACCTCACCCACTCTGACCTTTGGGTTCCAGATGATCTCGTCCTCCGATACCGATGACGTCGTCCCAAAGGTCGAGGAAATCGACGATGAAGAAGCCTTCGCGATAGAATCAGGAGTGGGACAATCGAGCACGCAGGTTCACGTGGATACCGTTGACGCAAAGGATACTTGGTCGCCAACACTGGTTAATGGGCCGAAGAAACGTGGTAGGCCTCGGAAGCACCCGCTTCCTGTCCCAGGTCAAGCCAAAGTTACCAAAGGAAGGTCGAAAACAGGCTGCATCACCTGTCGACGAAGGAAGAAGAAATGCGATGAGACAAAACCATCGTGCTTGAACTGCCAGAAGAATTCAGTTGTGTGCGAGGGGTACCCAGCAAAGGAAATATGGAAAAGTGGGAAACAGAAGTTGGAGGAGGGTACGCTCTCTCTCTCTCTCTCTCTGCTTGATGAGCTCCAATATTGTTATTCTTGATTCAGATTAACTGATACTATCTAGCTGCGCGACGAAACTCCATGGCGTTCATCTCGCGTGGCCTGCCCATCCTGATAGATGGAATTGAGACAGAAGTCGACCGACGTTTCCTGGACCATTTCGTTTATGACTTCAGCCGGGTACTCACACTGGTCAACGATGACTCGAACCCTTTCAAGGAAATCTTGTTGCCGATGGCCACACAGCATACGGGCTTGATGCATTCCTTGATGTGTCTAGCTGGATCCCATCTTTCATCGCGGAACCCGGAGCCCCGTTTCAAGGAACGTAAACATTACCATTTCGACCGTGCAATCACTGACTTGAGAAACACAATCGCCGCCAGATCTTCGGGAAACGGTGAAGAGTCGGAGTTTCTTATTGAAGATCCAATGATTGCATCCACGATTGCGCTTTGTTTGAATACGATTTGCGAAGGAGAGACCAAGGGCGAGTATCGATCTCATATGGATGCCGCCCGATTTTTACTCGTGACTCAACGCCCCAAAAATGAGAAATTTAGGCAGTTTATTGTCGAGTTCTTCCAGTACCATGATGTTTCCAGCGCTTTGACTACCCTAGATCGCCGTCCTATTTGCCTTACAGGAGACCTCCGTCTACCAGATTTTGTGCCTCACGCCCAGGCCGGCGCTCTCTTGGGTATATTCGACGGTCTATTCCTCTACATTTCCGAAATCACAGTAATCCGGGATAAAATACGACAACGCATTAACGAAGGCCTCGACCCCGCAGTAGACTACCAGACACTGAGTGAAGCAGTGGCGATCGACTCGCGAATCCGAGCTTGGGAGCCCTCCTATCCCCCGGAGCATCAAAATTGGTACGCAGCGCAGCTATATCGCCAGTCAACCTGGGTCTATCTTTACCGTACCATTCGACCTTCGCATCCCAATGAGAAAATCTCCCAGGTTGTTGATGATGGCCTTTTGTTCCTTGATCAGTTACCGTTGGATGCCGGCGCGTACAGTATTCTTTTGATGCCATTGTTCCTCCTGGGCTGCTCAGCTTTTGAGACGCATCAGCGAGAACGCATCAGAAGAGGTTTTGAGAGTTTGCAAGCCTACTCTAGCCTACGGAACATCGAACCAGCATTGCGCATAGTTGAAAGAGTATGGGACGTTATGGACACCGCTCCTAATAAAAGCTGGGACTGGGAGAAAATAATTGACGACATGGAAATGGACTTTCTAATTACATAGTCGTTGGGAATGCTCATTCAAAAATTCGGTTGCGTAACGACCGCTCTTATCTTTTATTCGACGTTCTCAGATGATATTTACCGGGTGTGCATTTATCGGAGTTGCGAGTGCTGAACGGAAAACATGCGGCCATACCCATATTTCCCCCTATCTTTTTGCAGCTCTATATCCAATCCCTTTCCTTTTATCCACTGGAGGTCAACTGCTCTCGCGACTGGCTTTACGGATACAGAATCACTTGTCACATGCTTTAACTTTTTGTGTTTTTCGGCGACCAATCTTGACCCATGGCTATTTCATTCTTTTGGCGTTGACACGGCGTCGTTCTAATTGCGTCAGGGGTAGGTGGTGGCTTGTTATTGCAGATTCAAAAAGGCGGCAACATTTCTCTCGCTTGTATTGAGCCATGGGTAGCTATTTCGGGCTCTTCCCCTTGATCTCCTGAAGATCCATGCATCCTTCACCTGTCTCGATCTATATCCCTACCATCCGATAACTTTGGCATTAATGTTAATGGAGCAACTTTTGCTGCCCTTTATTGCAAATGCATGTATGTATGTACGTACATGCTGTACATCAATTGATTATAAGCGGCTTGCTTGCGTAGCAATTGGGCTTAACTAGGGATTCGGGGATTCGGGGACCACTGCCAGAGGCCCCATCTCCCAAGTATCAGCCGAAGAAGAAGCCCCAGCCAGCTATAAACAGGGTGCTGGTGATATCATAATAGCAATATTTATATACTATTGATCGCGTCTTGACCGCTCTCATATTAGTAAGAGGAGAGAAAAAGCATCAAGCAAATGCGCTTGCACAGACGGCATGAACGCCTAAAGGCTTAGCGAGGGGTGGGATGAAACCTGGGGAACATTAATCGCTGACTAGTCCGGGCCGCTTGGTGAACAATGCAACCTTATTAGTTTTGGTATCCGTGAGGGTTTCACGAGGGATGTTTTCGCGTGTTATTTGGTCAAGCTGCTTTGAGGCCATTGCTTATAGTATTTTTGCCGGTGATGATACGATTTGAGCTACTCTAGCGCAGTTTTGCATCATTCCCAGCAATTGAAGTGGGAGATGCATGCTGGGGTGGGTTTGCTTCAAGGTATTTTGTCGAGCATAAGGGAGTAAAAGGTTTGGATTGCTTGTTTCGTCGCCTGTTTGCTTATGGTTTTGTTTGTCAGCGAAAGATACTTGGCGCCAAGGTAAACTTTATGTCATCATATGACTAAGCTGCAGCGCAAGTTTAGGCGAATCGGCACCGGATCTGGACAACCGCAACCGAGCCAATGACGTCGAATCCGGCCGAACCGCGTTTGGCTCCGATCTTCGACCTTCACGGCAATTTTCACTTCCTCTCTCTCTTTGTCTCTAGACAGCAGCTTCGCTCTCCTGTGCTGTCGGGCAATCAACAAAAGGGTCTCCCCTCGAGGCTGCTGCATCGTTTCCCATCTCGCTTTCGGCATGCTCTGTGGGCCATAGGTCTGAGCAACCTCCTCGTTTCCCACCCCGCCGGGGCCTGCCCTCGGAGTTCCCAATTCGCGCAATTCACCACACATCGTCCGCCGCCATGACTATCATTCAGATGAGGGAGCTGCTGCAGTTCCCTGAAAATGGAAACAATGCCACCGATACTGTCATCAACGGCATCCATTTCAACCGCACGGCGCTGGGCTATTTCAACTACACTTTATACTCCAACGGGACGCTTTCGAACGGATCGAATTGCTGGCTTGCTTTCGAAAAGTATAGACCTAGCATGTTCTCCAACGGCACTTTTATCAACGGTACCTCTTGTTATTCTCCGATCGATGGGGTTGGGACTCGAGGTAGTGTCGGGATTGCTTTTGCAACCCTGTTCGCTCTTACGATCCTATTCTCGCTGATTAACCTCAATAAACATGGCCGGAGGTATTTGCCTCTAGATAAGAGATGGAGCTTGGTTGGAAGGAGATGGCAGTGGTACTGGATGCTTTTCGTTGGAGCCTGTGGGACGATTAGCTGCTTCATGAGCATCGATGTCGATCGAGATTATTTGCAAGGAATGGCGATTATCCTGCAAAGTTTCTTCTATTATTTGATCTTCCCAGCAGTACTAGCTGTGGTATGGGAAGGTGTTCGGCATTGGTAAGCTGAACAGTGAAGTTTTTACTATTGAGTTTGGGAGATACATAAACTAATTGTGCCCAAAGGGGTTCGTGGCAGGAACGCCAGATTCAGGACCGCGACAATTTCGCATTCGCTGCTGAAACTAGTCGAGAGAAACAGGAATTCTACCTACCGCTGTTATTCTACCTCTTCGCGTTCATGAACTTCTTTTTGACCATTCCGAGGTCGTGGACAAATGTGCAGAAGCAGCGGAGTTTCAGCCAGCAAGAGGATTTGGCAAAGCCGACTGCAACCGATGGTCGTTTCAAGTCTGCTAGTATTATTGCAGTAGCCTGCCTGTTTATCATCTGCTACAGCCTCGGTCACAGCCTGTACAGGTACAAACACCGGCCTCAGGGACGAAGGTTTATCCCTTTCTACATAACCGTTACCCCGTTCAAGTTCGTCCTTGTGATCCTCCTAGCAGCAGCCCGGATTGGATTTGGTATCGCGTCCGCCTTTGAATGGACAGTGTCGCCTTTGAAATACAATGGCAACGCCGGCTGGCTATATGGCCTTGGCTATACCCCCGTGTTGCTGATTCTAGTCATCTTGAACCTGTATGGATATATCGATCCAAACGAGGATAGAGATCTCATTCTTCAGCGCGCTGAACGTGGTCGAGTGGCCGACGAGGAGCTAGGCATCGACCGAAAAGCTTTGAAGCCGCATTGGTTCAAGCGTTCAAGACCCGATTACGTTCCCAACATCTCTGGCGTGGATGCTGACTCGAGACTGCGAACTCTAGTTGCAGAAGTGGGCGGTGGTGCTGCAACCAAACAGAATATTCAGAAATCGGTTGAAATGGGCGTTCTCAATCCCAAGAAATACCGAGACGATGATCCACCTCAAGAGGCTCCGGTAGAGGCTCCAGCTGAATTTGAATGGCCTCGGAAAGACAGATTTGCTGTCTTAGATGCAGAAGAGAACAAGAAGCCGGAACCAGCGAGTGGTAGCAGCGGACTGAGTACGGATCCTGAAGCTACCCCCGTTTTAAGTCGCGCGAATAGTCAAATCACGGCATTCTCCGGCGAGACACTTACTTCCCAGGCCAGAGCTCAGAAAGTGAGAAGTATGTTGGATATATAAACTCAGACGTCATCTTCACGTCCACTGGATCTATGTGAAACGAGTTCATGGAGTTGCGATGTTGATGGATATGTATGAAAAAGCGATATGCTACGGATGGGGCGTCAAATATATGAGTGAGTTGGAGTCTAGGCAGATTTCATCGCTCTATGGAGGAATATTTAGGCATTGATATTTGGTGTTATGCCCTGTTTCCTTGATTTGGGAATATTAGGTCGTTGTGTTGAGCATGTGTTTATCTAGAGGAGCTCTTGGTGTATATAGGAGTAATGTGAAATTTTGATTCATTTGAACCTGTGTCAGCTCTATGGGGAAGAACATTTGGCTTACATAGTGACACCAGAGAGATCGACTTGAGCTCCCCTTGTCAAGGGGGCATCGAATACCCACAACATACGTGCCCACCGTCAATTTCCGCGCTTCCTCCTTTAGACGAATGGTCCCATGTCAATTTGGGGATCACGAAATCCATAGCTTTCAATTGAACACCTCAAATATCTCAATGATCACCCCTCCCTGTCCTTCGCAGGCCAAACAAAACAACATCCCTCGACCCTGGCGGGAAGTTTGTAGCAGTGGAGGAGCCAAAATAAACCAAGAAAAACGGCTGCTCCTCAGGACAAAAAAAGAAAACCACCGAAGATCCAGAACCAGGGTCGAAGGGAGAAAGGGAAAAAAGACATGCCATCCAATACTTCCTGATAATAATCAAGCAAAAATCTCTACAGGGAACAGGGAAGATGCAACCCAGATCGACAAATGACGAATGTGACACAAGCCGATTTAAGATTTTCTAAATTTTTTTTTTTCTCCGCTGTTTTATGCATATCTTCATCACATGCAGAATAATGATTGAGTCAAGCGTTCGGGGAAACATCATCAATCCGTTTTGGATTTTTTCCCATCAAGATCCAGAGAGAAAGGAATCGTTAGTTTACATCGTCAGCCGAAATGACACACGTTGGCCTCTTCCCATCCTGATAAGGTCTAGAGGGCTGCGCTGGATCTGAGTTCTTGGATTGAAACAAGCATCAAGAAGCAAGAATGAGGAGTAATATGCTTTGTAACTACCCCTGGCGGACCTTTCAGGACCCATCGTGATATCAGACGTTGTACGACATTATTTTTCGTTGATCAGCAGCCAGGATCAAGAGGTCAAGGGCCCGGCTCACGAAATCATAACTATCACCCTAATTACCCGCAGGCAAAGTGAAAGCAGCAAGGATCATCAGCGTATGTATTTCGTTACCCATGTACCGTACGTACTCCCTGCCTGGGTACTGGCCTTGGTATATCTGTCCCAGCTGTAGCATATTAGCTGTACGGAGTATATTGTGGAGGGACAGAGAGCGTAGACCTCGGCGTTTACTCATCATACAAGGCAATGGCAATATCAAGACTGCCATGAACTGACGATATCAGCCTAGAAAGGTGAAGCTGAATCCTCAGCACAGAAAAGATGATAAATATGAAATAATGAGGGATAGCAACAAGATATATTGCACCACATTGTTGTATTTTACACAACACAATCCACATAAAACATTGGGGCATTGAATGTAGCCCACAGTAAAGTGGAAAACAAACTCTCACATTTTAAACTCTCACATAGCAACGCTGAGGCTTCAAACACCAGTGAAAAGAAAGTGGAAACAACAAACTATTTCCCAACCCATCTTTATCCTCCTTACCCCATGAGCGCCCGGTTAGCACGTGAATCAACCTGACAGACCCGACCATTCAAATGCTCAACAAAGTCCGAACAAAACAATCAATGGATTCGAAAATAAATGAAACAAAGGGAAATGTAGAAAAAAAGTGCCGAGAAAAAAACTAGAGGGTATAGAGATGGCGAGAGTAAGGCCAACACGTAGCAGAAAGCCACTTCTTGGTATCCGGGTGAATATAGGAAGGTATTGTTGAAAATGGAAACCGTCCGGCTGCGATTAGGCTGAGAAAACCCGGTCCAATTGTCTGAGAGCTCTCATATCTTCCCCAAAACCGATCTTATCGCTCGGAATGTCCTTGGGCCCGTCAACAGCTCCATTGGCAGCTTTTGTAGGAGTGCTGAACTCATTTTGATGTTGGCCAATGGTCTTTGGATGGTCAGAATTTGACGGGGCGGCTGTAGTAGGTGGAAGAGGAGCCTGTACGGAGTTAACAAGGGCATTGATGCTGGGCACAATGTTTGCCGCAGAGGTTTGCTCTGAAGTTTTCCGAGATCCATTGACTGGCGATCCTGCAGGTTCCAGGGGAGGTTGACTTGATTGAGAACCATTTCTCAGGTTCTTGGAATGTTCAGCTCGTGAACCTCCAAACCGTGGATCTGTTTCAGCTGGGGGTGTGGCCGGATGAGAGTTTCGATGTGCATTAATCATGTCGTGATGCGGAAGGATAGATGCATGTCCTTGCGCGTAGTATGGAATTCCATGGGCGGCCATTGGAGCACCATTGGTATGTAACGGGGTAGGAATGCCGCCGTGTTCTGCCGGATGGATGTACCTGTCATAGGGAGAGGGATAACCATGGGGAGGGGCTGGGTAAGCCGGATGATGGCCATACGGGAATGGCGGATGCCCGTTAGCACCTAAAGGGGGCAGATAGTTCGGGACGTATGGTATCACGGAGACATGTGGAGTTCCTAGTAAAGGAGGTGACCAAGCGTAGGGCGACGACGCGTATGGGTGATGGGGAGGAGCACGACCGTATGCGAGCGGAGGGGGAACGGCTAGGGCAGCACCCCCCATGGGCCCACGCGTCACCACTGGTAAATTTTGTTGGTCATTTACACTTGACTCTGGATAAAGGCCCTTTTGGGGTCGAATCTGCCGCAGTTGTGGATCAGTTGAGGGTTGATTTAGGCCCGGGGCATTGGGATGCGATCGAGCATAGTAGCTTATGAGGTGCAAATGTTGACCTGTGGAGGTTGTGATGCTGAACGATTGCTTCATCAATCCATCAGGTTTGTACCGGTACCCATCAGGACCTTCTTCACCACCTTCTCCCTGATCTTCGTCACTTCCTCTATTACTCTCCGGTGTCTTGCCGGCCCTGGATGAGGCGTGGCCTCCTCCCCTCTTTCCTTCCATCTCTCTGTATGTTAGGAAGCTCCCCGATACTCTGCTGGCGCTCCATGACTTTCCATCCGTCCATCGTCTCATCCCAGCTTCCCGTTCGTCCCAAACGAACACGGATCCAGACTTGATTGATTGCCGTTCTTTTTCGGATAATCTTCTCTGAACTCGCGGCAAGAGGCCGAGCCGACAGGCTTCGAAAAGAATGATTGCGTCCGCTGGTGTTCGGACATGTCCGTGATACGTTTCCATGGTATGTGATATTAACGATTCGACCCGAGTAAGCTCAACTGCCTTTGAGACACTGCACCGTGGGTTTTATTCAACCCACTCGAATTGAGCGTTCATAGATCTAAACGAGTTTTGATAGTACGGTATTGGCATCAAGGACAGGGCCTAGTTTTGACTCATATACCTGTTAGTTTCGTAAACGATTTATCGGTAGTTGCCAAACTCGAGAAAGAAATGAAAATATTACAAAAGAAAATTAAAAAAAAAAATGGGATACGCGGTTTTCTGCAATAGAAAAGCGTAGCGCTTAGAACAAAGACATCCTACTCCATAGTGCTGGAGATTTAAAAAAAATGCTCAGGTCAATGAAGAGCCCACGCAGCCAGTGAAACCCCAAAGCATTCGTTAGGGCGAAAGGAGATGCCCGAATAACAAATGCTGGGGTTTCTTGGTTGATGTCTCGCCTCATCGCGTGGCGAAGACTTACCGAGTATGCTGATGTGAGGTACGTCGAACCTGGTTTATGCTTTGGTACCCGCGAAAAGATAGTTCCAGAGGTCAATCTCAGTTTTGGCAGCGATGGTCCTGTTAATGACGGCTTGGTAGCTCCGTATGGTAGGTGGAAAGAGTGAAGAAAGAGAAAGACGGTTTGAACGCTGAGCAATTCAATTCTCAGAGGACGTTGGGAGAGCACGAGGAATCGAGGACGAAGAAGAAGGCTTGCTCTTTTGGGCGACGGGAGCCATGCCACGTGAGAAAGACACCAATACCGAATAACTTACAGTACCCAATTAGACTTCGACGCTTCCTAGCGCCAAATCTTAATCTGGGCTGTATTGCGCTAGTATCCGGTGTAAGAATAAACGACAACGTATCCCTTTGGCGGACGATTATCATCAGAAATTAATGTGATGGACAGGAGCAGAATAATGGGAGCTGGCGATGGGGAATAGTGAGGGAGCATTATGCTTGGGTCGAGTGACTCATGTTCACACAGAGCCACGCCCTCCGCATCTTGCCTCGTCCTTCAAATCGAATAACGTGAAGCTCGAGTGGGATCTGTTGGTGGATTCTCAGTTGTTGGTATGCAACTGCGAGCCCTTGCAACAGACTTGATACTAACCGGCACGCCGTCTGGGAATCGACGTAACTGTCAACGCCCAAGAAGATTAGCATTGCTAAGACCTCGCCAAGATTGGAGGCAATCCACATCCCCGCTCGCATTCCCAATGCCGAGGGCATAGCCGCTCCAGAAGGCTGAATAGATGACGAGTAATGAAGCAAAGACGGAAGCGACGGATCCGAGGCGAAATAACAGTAAAGAGCTGTTCACAGTCATGGCTGACACGCTGTATTATGTTGCCAGAATTTCAGGACCTCGTTTACATCGTCCCAATCCTGGGCAGGCAACGTTGAGATCGACTGTCGTATACTATACAGAAGGTAGAAGGCTGATTAATCAGCGGCTACGAGAACGGCGCATCGTCCTTGGGCGGGAATACTGAACCTAAAATTTAAAAATGGCTATTCGCCCGAAAACACCTCATGGGCGCTCGTTCTGCCACTTGTTTAACCGCACTGTGGTCCTGTACCATCTCTACGCATAATCCTCTATTCCAAACAACTGAAGGATTTGGCACGCAAAGTTCAGCAGAAACCTGTCAGTTGCCCCGAGTTCGGCGTGGCGTCAGCTGTTTTCCGTCAATTCGCTCGCTTGATATGGCTTTGCTCCAAAGCTTAAGCTTAAAGCAGAGAGTTTCAAGGCAACCAAATTTCAGCAAAATTCAATCCACGCCTTTCACGACCCGAAGATGATCGGCTCGTATCAAGAGACAATCCATACAAACAAAAGAGGCGTTGCGCGAAGTCTTTTCAACTACTTTACACATACTGTTGAGACAATGGATTTATAGAGCTGGAAAAAAGAGCCGTCACTTCAATGACAACGCGCCCCAATTCGAAAGTAATAAAAGCGCATTCGAGGGCTCTGGGAGCTGTGCACAAGAAGTCGAGCACAAGGAGGCGTTCGAAGACAGCGTCAAAATTACCGCTAGACTTCCGCGACCCACAGCCCCAAAGCTAAAGCCCCTTCGGCTCCGTTGGAAGCGCCAAAGAAAAAGCTAAAAACCTAAACTTGACTTGGCATCAATGTTTATTATGTAATGTGCTAATAGTTTAATTTGCAAGCAACCAGGATCACCCGCAGCGCCAATCTCAACTTGATCAACTGGCCTTGATGTTTGCAAGCTCTGCGGAGAGGAGCCAGAACCACTGTAGGACAAAGGCGCCGATGCCATCCCCGTGTTGGTACTTCTCCTCTTTGCAATATCTAACACTCTGTCAGCTTTGCTGGCCGGAACAAACGACTTTCCGGGATTTGTGTTGCAGCCAACTCCTGATCTTCAGACGCTTGAGTGGGAGAAAATTCAAAAGTCCCACTCAATCCCTGTCGGCTGCAAGAGAAGTTCGAGAGACCCAAGGAGTCTTTTTTTTGAGAAGCAATCACCCTCGTTTCTGACTGATGCAACAAGAATTGTGGCGCACTTGTTGCTCAAATTTAAGGTTCCCAAGCAGACGCAGGGCGCCACAACAAGTTCCTTTGCTGCTCTTGGCAAATCCCAGAAGGCCTGGGCCAATCTCAACTCCCCCCCTGTTCGGCTGTCACCCTTGATCAACGCGAGGATCATGATGGGTGAACCGGAGTTTTCCTCCGGACGAGCGAGTTGAAGATACTTGAAGAGAACAAGACAGCACTGATAAATAAGTAGGATGTCCCTCCACGCTCCAATCACAACACTGGGATCAAGCAAGACGCAGACGACAACAAGACTGCAGAGCGCCAAATGTATCAACCTAAACCCCAACGCGCCCCCGATCTTGAGCGCATCGAGAGCAAAAGCTTTGGAAACGATCTCAGAAACCGAGAAGGCGCACTGTCAAACGACCCCTTATCATGGATTTCACCAATCATCGAGTTGGATGTGAACCACTCCAAAAATATAACTCTACTGGGGCAACACAACATCAGGATAACAACATGACTGGATTCACCAGTTTGGCCCTTTGGGCTGACTCTCCAAGCCTTCAATCTGCAACTGACTCGTATTCTGCCGATTTCTTGCCAAATGGCCAAGTCGAGTCAGGAATGGGAGTCAGCATTTAAATGCAAAGGGCTTGCGACAATTTTGAGGCTAAAATATACTCCGTACAAGATCCCATTTTTCTCTGTTCGCTCTCCTCAAGTGTTAGGCTCCCACGTTAAAGAACAACAAATGACAGCGGCTGGAGGGACCATGCGTTTTGGCTTCATGCTGCCCCTGAAATCTTCCCTTGCGCAGTTTGATTACCAACAAATCATGATGATTGAATTATTCATATTTGCGCCGGATTTGCGTATTCTAATCTCAACCGCAAAGAGCGGAATAGGCAACCTCTTCCAGAGGTGTAAGAATATGCTCCATATTGTATGCGCATACGGAGAAGTTACAGAGCAAGCACTACATCTAGACAAACTAGACGCGACTTCAGCTTGCATCAAGACACAATTCACACTGTGTCGCCCAAACAAATATTGTGGCTTCAACAAGCTTTGCGAGGCTTACACAATTCGACAGGCAGAATTTCTTTTTCCCACTGGGCTCTCTGCTGATTTGACATCTTTCCCGAATCACTGTGGGCTCATCACATGGCAGATCCCGCCTTGGGTGTGGCAGATAACACTCTGCCTCGAAACACCACTCGATCACGACAGTGATGACTTTGAACACCGGATGGTTTTCATCTGAATCTTCCGAAATCGCTTCCTGATATGCTCCCTTTCTCCGACCCGGATTCTCCCCTCGCGACTGATGCCAATTTTTAGGTTCCCGCCCAAGACTCGCCGCAACGACTCTCGCCTATGTTCTTGGCATTCCAGACCCTGTGAGAAGAGCGGGAAGTCGTTGACGCCAAAAAACAAATACCAAAAATGGCAAATATCGCAGCAAACCCGCCCTCCGTCCATGTGTGCGCATCGGCCACTGTGACTGACCGAAATCGCCAAAAGGAGGCTCCAGGCCAAGCCTCTCTCCGGCAAAGAGGACGCCTTGCGCCTCGGGCAGATCGGCAAAGACGGGGACCGCCAAGAGGGCCAAGCCGCCAAGACCCAGAACTTGGCTGTGGTCCGTGTCCTTGCTTGGCGCCAAGGATACCGATAGTCTTGGCGCAATGCTCGATCGGGGCGAAGCTTTTTGATGGCAGTTGTGTGACTGTTGTTATTGTTGCATTTGCCAAGGTGGGTGTAGAGGGGTTTCCCTGAGAGTGGTAGTCGATATACGACTGTAATATAGAGGAGATTTTACCCCTCTGATCTGGCAAGAGCAGCTGCCAGGTTGTACAGCAGTTCATCTTCTTCAGACAGGCAAGAGAACAGCGCTTTGAACCACAAACAAGAAACTCTTGACAGGAATAAGGTTTGCATTCTCACAGTTGCGTTGTTGCTAAATTTGCCAATGACATGGCCCTTTTTGTTCCACACTGTTTGCCTTTGAAGCACTCCGGGCTTCTGACAGTGGGCCAGAATTTATGCTTCTTTTGCCTGTGGGGCTGGAGTTAAAATTCCGATCAGAGAAAAATGTGGGAATGGGAACGCTGTTAAGGTTATTTATTAGGTTCGCTTTATGCATATCTGGGGCTTGGGCCTGGGTCTTGTGAGAGGAACTGGGCCGACATCCTCCATACCTCATGATGCTGTCTCACCAGTGTTGTCTTCTAGGTCACTTTAAGGACTCTTGTTTCTGACACTTGCTCTAACTACATGTCTCTCATTACTTTCACCTGCTGTTTTCCACAACAGCAACTTTGGGTGGATTTGGAAGTTGTTCCTTCATCTTTGTCCACTCTTCTGTGGACAAATGTTTACACATCTCACTGATGCAACAACAACCCATCTGATGGGGTGAGGATGCCTATCACAGTCTACACTGGGCAACAATCCACCTGCGTCACTGTGTCCTATCTTCCAACCCCTGTTACAAGAATGCTCGAGGTGATGGAATAGTGACAAAGGAGGAATGTGTGATTATTGAAATGCTAACTGGGCTCGCAACTCTCAAGGATGGCATATCATATATGCTTGTACGCATGGCCTGTAACATCAGTTGAAAGAGAGGGAGAAAATCCTGCTGTTGCCACAGTCATTCCCAAGGCTTCATATGACGATTACAAATAGCTACACCAACAGCAACAAGTTACAGTTCAATAACGAAAGGCGACAAGAACTTCAACTTCTCACTAGTTTTATGGATCTGAATCCAGGAGCGAAGTCCAGCCTCTAACCACAAACCCCACAGCCCACGTTGCAATCCACCCTGTGGACCTGGTCTGGTGGCTTTTTTTTCTTCCATCGGCTTCCGTTCTTTTCCCACGACAAACTGCAAAACGAGATCCAAGTGACATTGGCGGCTTGTCTGACGATCGGTGTTGGGATGTCAATTAGCCAGGAGCCCTGAACACTCCGAATGCCAAATTGGGTTGAGTTCAGGATCCTTGCCTCAAAAACTTGCTCCATGTTGCTCCTCGGCAGTCTTTGCATTCTATGGCTTTTTAGCTCCCTTTTGCCTCCGAAATGCAACCAAATAATCAAGATCACCAAGAGCAATCCTGCCAAGGTGGATATATTGGATTTCGAAATCTCCACACAATCTAGCTGCCTTTGGTGTCTTTCCCCGACCCTAACATTTAACTAACAGGGGACAGCTGAGTCCTGGGGCAACCTCCCGACCAACATCACCCATAACCCATGCAGCGATCGTTGGGAAGCCAACAAATACGACAGTTTCTCAGCGCAAGTTGATTGACATGTTACCATTAGCCCCTTTCCCCCGCGGAACAACGATTCAAAACAATGTCAAGGATATGCTTTTCATCCCAACCGAACTCAATGGGGAAACAAAGAATATGCCCAATAAATCGACAAGTTCGCCAGTTTCTCACTGGCCGCCTCCTCTCCATTATTCCAGAGCTGCGAGCCCCTGATCTTTCGTGCTGGGGTTACCGAATTTCGCTTGCTGCTTGAATTAGAGAGGCAAGGTCCCTGGACCCAGGTGGTATTGCGACGAGCCCAGAGACCTGGGTGGATTAACCCGTCGTGGTTGCGCTCCATGCTCATTAATCGGACTAGGTCAAGGCATCGCTGGGCAAGCACAGGAGAGAATCCTCAATTGACGCCAACCCTAGCAACGATTCGAATAATCCAGCATGCTCTGAGATGATACTTGAGATTCAAATATGTTGCTACTGCAGCGCAAGTTCTGAGGTTCTTGTACTCTAATATAAGTTTTGATATCGTTGGTTCAGCAAACAGGCTCAACTACATGACTATGGCGAATTGGCACAAGCTTCTGAAAGTTGGACGTATGATTGTTGAGTAAAGTATTAACTTAGTCACTATGTCAATTCCGCCCGCGAATATACTAGTTCAAAAACCTGTTCACAAAGCAGTGACCAGTGGCCGATGCAGATGGATCAGACTCCGAAGTGGCCTTCAGCTTGACCACAGCAAGTAACGAGGCAGAGGATTCGGCAGCTACAGCTACGTTGACATCAACCGACTTGCCAAACTCAGCGACAGCAAGCGCATTTGGTAGCTCGACCTTCCAGCCGCGACCCTTTACACTGGCTTCGAGACGGTAGACGTCAGACTTGAGGTACGAGGATAGATCTTGTGGGTGGCCCGCACCAGCGGCATCTGAATAGCGGCCGGAGTTGCGGAGATTGAAGGAACAAGTCACGCCGCCGCGGGTTGGCGAGTTGCGGCGGCCGGTTCTTACTCTCCCTGAGGAAATGGCGGCTCCGTGCTTATGTGGGTCCTTACCGCGGTCGAGCGATCGAACAGCAGTCGTGTACGAAAGGACGCCTTGCCTGTCGCGATGAACGTCAACGATGTAGAAATGTAAGTTGTTAGCCTTGTCGACATATTCATACTCGCTGCCGGAGCGGGTACCAGCGTGGAACAATGCATCGGCCAATTGGCGGTAATCGCCAATAGTAATCTTGACGGGCGTGCCATCTGGGCGATGGAAATCGAGAAGATCAAGGTCTTGCGGGTTTGCGTCGATCGTCCATTGGTAATTTGAAAAGGATTCGTCCTTAGTCTTGCTAATCATGACACCGGAGTCTGGAGTGAAGGAATCTGCACCTACACGGTCAACCACTTCGATTTCGTAGTTATCGTAGTTATTGCCATCGCAGAAAGGATCGGTATTGACATCGCAATGTGGTGACTTATCAGCATCCATCGCAACGCGAACGCCAATCAATTCATGTTTAGGAGAAATCCCACGGGCCTTGACGCGGGCAACGACAAGGCCTGAGCCTGCTAATGCCTCGCGTGACACCTGGAGAACGCTGTCCTTGTCCACCAAGCCGAGTTTGACCTTGTCACGCACGGTGTGTAACGAACCCATGGAGCTTCCCTGCACCGGTGGGATCATCCATCGGGAGTGTGGACCTCCAGGTCCGTTGAAGGATCCGCGCGACATCATGGACCAAGGTCCTGTAAGAGCCCGACGAACTGGCACGCCGTAAGGGTTGTTGTAGTTATCACCGATATGGAGCAGATGGGTGAGCTCGTGAGCAAATGTACCCATTCCTGAACTCTCGGCTTGGGTGGATGAGCCACCACCGGCATTGGGCCAGATCGTCGAGGCGGATGCCCACGACGTCCATTCGACGTATCGTGTGCGTGCAGCATTAGGGAGCGATAGATTGCCAACGTCAGGTGGGCCGAATTCGTCAGGGACATCCTCCGGCGTTAAGAACTTCATTTCACCAAATTCCTGCCATGTGGCCGATTCGTCTTGGCCAGCCGAAAGAATGAAAACAAGCTCAAAGGAATCAGCCTTCTCATCACCAACCTCCTTGCGCCAGGCAGCAAGGGCGTCGTCGCGAATCTCAACGTTACATGCTCCCTCCTCAGGGCAAGCACCCAAGTTCATCCTGTCGCTGATACCGTATTGATACGACTTCAGGGGCAATCTGTAGACGCCGAAGGCAGTAAGATCGACGCCATAGCGGCCATCCGAGTCACCCATCCAGTACTCATGCAGCGTATGCCCGAGATTTAGCTTGCCCGGCTTGTTGAGAAAGTCACGGTAGAAAGTTGTCACATCTTCGCGCTTGATATTAGCAGCACTCGGCTGCGGGTTGCCGAAGACGTCCGAATGGGGTGCCATGGTGACGGCAAAGTGTTTATCGGAGTAGTCGACAGCGACAAGGGCAATGTTGAAATTGCGAATTGAGCCCTTCCTGGAAGGGTCAGCCCAGTTGGTGCCGGGAGGGGTTCGCCAGTCGTCCCAGGTCATATTATCGGGGTTGACCCAGTTTTGCGGATCGAGCACCGCGAAGGGGTCATTGTTTCCATCTCTATCGTTCCGCGGGCGGTTTGTTGCAGCTCCTGCGGGGTCGACCAGTAGCACACTGGTCAGAACAGTCGCAAGGAGCCCCCAATGGCGGCTCGAAGCGTCGAGAAGCTGCATGCTTGTCTTCGACAATGATCAAGCACTGGCGCAGATAGAATCGCCCCGCTTGAACACAAGGACAAAAGTCTGCACAAAGTGGTAGGACATCACCGGTCTTTATAACAAGAAACCCCTCAAAAAGAAGCATTCTCGGCAGCACCCCAGCTCGTGGCCGTTATCCGACGATCCTTGTGATTGCTGGCATGGACAGCCAGGACAGGAGCCGTTTCCAGGGCCAGGGGAGCCGTCCCATCCACGGAAGCCCATGAATTCATCGGGCCAGGCATTTGTGTTCCCGATTGCAAGCGTCTTCTGGAGATTGGCACAACCTCTGAATACTACCTGCTGGATGTGGAATACTGGGGGAGGAGGACGAAAATCCCTGCAGCCGCAACATTAGCTTACCAAAACCGAGAGCTCTCTCGAGGCTCGCACGAGGTCGGGAGACGCAGACAGGAAGTGTGTTGAAGAACACCGGATTTCGAACACAAAAGTGCTGGAGACAGCTATAGGTCATCCATATATGTAGTTGTCGAGTGCTTTTTGCAGGAGGTGAGGTGTTGTTCGTATTGCTAACTAGAGCAGGGATGAGACAGCTTCCCGTTCCCGACAAGGATCGGGTGCGAATTGCCGCTTCAATCCCGAAAGAACGCTCTATCAAGGTATGCCAGGCTCCATCCAGCGGTCACAAAAGGCGTGATTGAGTCGCGCCATCGCCGAGTCGAGAGCGTCTTACCCCTCACCTTTGCTCAGCACGACGATCAATTGCTTGACTGCTGTAACTACCTGTCAACGTTGCCGATCTCGCAGCTTCGACGGAGGAGGACAGCTGAGTAGCAGGGGCTCTCATCACAGGTTTCGATGAGTTCGGGGTATCTAGAAAGGCAATGTCAATAGACTTTGTAAGCTCAATGCAAATGCTTCTCATCTTGCCGTGTGATTTCAAGCCTTGTCCACAAAACGGCAATTTGACGCAAGAGAACATGGCTGGACGGGCAGACAGTGTTGCTGTTGGCGCGCTTTTCTCTCATCAAGGCGTGATTCATTCGTTCCTGGGATGCCATTGAAATCTGCGGTTAGGCACCAAGAGCCATCTTCTTCAACCTCTGCGGCATGGACAACAGCAACAGATGAGTGACTGGTTCTCAAGGAATAGGTACACTTTGCATAGTGAGAGGCTGGTGACTAACTGCTGGGGACTGAGAAGGCACGATGACGAGTCTTGCTGTGCGTCATCCTCTTAGAAGCTGGCGACTTCACCTCCATGCGAGCTCCAACCGTCCATTTTCAACACAAGAAATGATAACTACACTGATGCGGCCAAATGGAGAAGCACAACGAATCCGTGTCTGCCATCGCTTCCCGAGTCAAGCAGTTCTACCAGGACAGCCGCCCGTTTCGCATCTATCATGGCTCGACAAGCAGCACCAGACAGTCCCAGCACTGGAATGACAACACTATAGATGTCAGTGCCTTGTCCAATGTCCTGTGCATTGACAAAGAGCGCAGATTAGCAGTGGTGGAGCCTAATGTTCCTATGGATAAACTGGTCGAGTCCACCTTGCCGCACGGCTTCATCCCCCCGGTCGTCATGGAATTTCCTGGCATCACTGTTGGTGGAGGATTCTCTGGCACGTCTGGCGAGAGCAGCTCCTTTAGGCATGGCTTGTTCGAGGATACCGTCGTCGGTATTGAGATTGTTTTGGGTGACGGAGAAATTGTGCATGCCTCGCGCACGCAGAATTCAGATTTGTTTTACGGCGCCGCATCGAGCTATGGGACTCTG